CTAAAAACTGCTGAAGCATAGTTTCTTGGATTCAAATATGGTTGTAATTGACACTCATTGCTAACTCAGTAAGCCTATTTGAAAACAGTATTGCACCTGTAGGACCCTTTTAGGGACAGTTTGTTCATTTGCCTGCATGCATGGACACGGATAGTTGAGCTCATATGGGACTGGCAGTAAAGTGGTTTCATATGAGAGAAGTGTGCATGTTTGAAGAGTTTTGTAAGTATGTGTTCCTAATGCAGCGAATCTTTCAGTGGATGTTTTTCAAAGACAATGAAAAGAGCTTCATCAAGACCTCATCAACTGAAAGAGCAGCTCCTTCAGGCCATCGATGCTCAAAATAGTGTGAGTAAAAGCTGAGTTATAGACCAAAGTAATGACTACAGTCCTTTATGGTTTTGTACCTATGCTGCGTGTGCATCATTAGCAGTAACTGTCACTTCATTTAATGATTGCAATTTAACTATATTGTCATTTCTATCCATTCTTTCAGCACTTTATGTGCTTGCTTTGTGTGGAGAATATTAGGAAAGCAATATTTGGAGTATTTCAACTTTTTTGACTGTATTATATGTATTCTTGATCAATTTTTTATATTAATGTCCGTTTTGCCCATGTCTGTGTAATATGTATCCCATAGTCAAGATATTTTCATTCCTTAATTAGTCTGTTGAATCTGCTGGTTTGCTCAGTCTCACAGTGGTGAGGTTAATTTTTATTATGTAACTCCCTGGGGACTTTTTTCACAGATTTTTATTGGAATGAGTATGCAAGCATGTCACATTTGCATTTGCAAACACAACTGTTAACTGGGATCTGAAAGAGTCACTGCTGCAGGTGCACATGTGAGAGCAGATTCAAATACATGAGGCCCATCTACTTTCATGAGTATGACCAGCATCAGAAAAAGAGACAGGAAGTGACTCGCTAAGCATTAACCGTTATAGGTTTTTTAATGCACAGAGAATATTATGAAAGCATGGAAGTGACATGAGCTTAACTTCTATCTGTCAGCAGATACAGAACACGATGGCTGTATTGGATGTGATATGCTGCCTGGAAAAATACCCCATGACTAAAGAGGCTCTAGTGGTAAGATACTAACTCACTATATTTACATTAAATTTATCCCAAAAACTGTGGTATAGTGTGTCACAATGAAAATGTGAATTAAAAGGATGGTTCACCCAAAAAAGCATAATTTACTCACCCTCAAGTTGTTCCAAATCTGTATGAGATTCTTTCTTCTGCTGAACGCAAAAGAAGAAACTTGGAAGAATGTTGGTAACAGTTACTGATCCCCATTGACTTCCATAATATGAAAAAAAAAAAACACACACACTGGGCAGCTACTGTTTAATGCATTAATGTCTTAAAAAAAAAAAAAAGAAATGATTTGGTTTTGTTGTATTCCAGGAAACCAGGCTTGGAAAGTTGATCAATGAT